GAAAGGGCTGGTGAGCGAAAATTTGTGGCGAGATCAAATGGAATCAAAGAGGATTTGCGGAAGGTTGTAATACATCTCGCGCATTCGAGATGGACTGTGATCAGTACCCGAGCAAGCAAGTAGGTTGACCTGATTATGGCATACTTGATTCTGCGAGATCCAAATCATGTGTGCCGCCCTTTACTGCAACTCAGTAGCAATACAAACCACGCATTAAAACTCGCAGAACAATGCAGTCGTCTGAAGTGCCGCAGAAATTTCTTTTCCATTCGTGTCTGTCAACCGTGGAATGCTCTCCCAGAAACGGTCGTCTCTGCACTGATACTAACAGTATTTAAAAGACCGCTGGACGATGCACTCACCCACTTACACTTATTTACTTAACACTACCTCTCCATCCTACACCTGGAGTATACGATGGAGTTATTTGTTGTTAACTGTGCGTGCTGTGAATTTAAGCTAATCGCAAGACTACAGTGGAGCAAAAGATAAGTCCTTATTTTCATATTTAATGTATTAACTATTTTGCTATCCTTCTCATCATTATTGTTATGTTGATATTTCCACCAACTATACAACCGGACGTGTAAAGCAAGGCTTCTTAATCTGTATAAATTCATTATTCATTATAACTATAAAAATTATGCGCCTAACGCTTTAATGAGCAATAACCTAGAAACTGACGAATAAGAAGTACAATGCATTGACACAATTAAACGAAACTTATTATGAATGCCTTTTGGCGTTCATGTAAACACACTGGACGACTTTACTATAACTGCAGGTGCAGTGATTGTTCCGATCAATTGATCAATTTTTCACATTGAATATCTGTTCCACATATGGTTGGCGGCATCCGGTTTCGGATTTGCCTGTCACTGTGGCCAGACACAGGACGCCTGCGCCTACAGAGGGACCATGGATGGCTTGCGCTGCACCACCCACAGCTCCAAACACATACCCCATATCCAGTGTAAACCCGAAGGAATAAGACCGGGAGGCATGCGGATGGGAGCCACGTTTCATCAACGGAGCCGGCCCACACTCCTTCACAGGCAAACACAAGCACGCTGTATTTGGGGAATCAAGCGCAGACAAGACGGTGGCTGGACCGTAGTCCGCTCCACACTGAGTGCATGGAACCGCTCTTTGAGCCTAGCACGGCCACAAGAACCGTGCACCCCGTCCCCTCCAGCAACGACCAACTGTCTCCTGAAGCCAGTACGAACGATGTAGTGGGTAATAGACAGATAGGCACCTTGTCAACAATCACATCAAGCGCAGCCACACCGGGGATATCAAACAACAGCCAAACACTTGAGAGAGAGAAAGAAAAAGAGAAAGAGAAAAACTTGATTAATGCATAAGGAAACGGTGATATAAACCTTAATTAAATAGCATATGTAATAAGTTAATTACAAACAGATCCTAGCTAAGTGCACGAAGTCAAAAAGTATAGTTCACGGAATGCCACGAACACAAAAATGTTATGGAAATCGAATACAGTTGGCTTAGGCGATGTGCGCAAGTTAATGGAATAGAGTACAGGGAGATATTTATATGAGAAAGAGAAGCATTAAGGTAAAAATTGTAAACCCGCCACCTGAAATAAAGAGACTTAGCATGCAAACACGCGGTTAGTAAATCGAATTCAGCGTGCCTACAAACGCTGCGCCGGCTCGCCGTAATTCTCTGCAGGACCCGTCGTCGCTTCTGTAGTGACCCCAAAGGGTCTAGCTCAAGGCCCACTAGACATTTATATGAGAAAGAAAGTCATTAGGACAGAAACGAAAACCCACCACCTGAAATAAAGAGACTTAGCATGCGAGCATGCGGTTAGTAAATCGAACTCAGCGTGCCTACAAACGCTGCGCCGGTGCTGCCTACGTTCACTGCGGGACCCGTCATCGCTTCGGCAGTGGTCCCGAGTGACCTCTCTCATGGCTCACTATACCTGCCTGACTAAGGCACTCGCGACCCCACGTTCTACAGCACCATGCGCTCGATGTCGATGGAGTACAATTCATTGGTGCTTGCCGCTTCCGCAATTGCCGCTTCTTCTCTGCATGCATGAGGGTTTCTACCCCACTTCAGCAACTGCCTTCGTGATTAGATCGCGCCATGCACGCCGATCTACCGCCTTCGATTCCCATGATCTGCAATCAAGATTAGAACGTGTGAGAATCACTTTAATCATGTCCTGGTAACGTAATTTTGTTTCCCAGCATGCCGCTTCCCTATACTCAGCTGACCGTATAAAAGTTGTTTCGGTATTCGCGTCGAATTCATACGGCTCACATGACCGAGCCATCTCAGGTGTCTCAATAAGAGTATGCCGTCCGCTACAAACATCCCACTTCGGCGCAACACTTCCGTGTCTGCAACTCTGGCGCCCCAGCCGATCCGCAAAATTCGTCGCAGACACTGCTGATGGAACCGCTCGAGATTATCGCACATCCCGACGGTACATCGTCCACGTTTCACTGCCATATAGAAGAACGGACAGTACCATGGATTTGTACACCATCAACTTCGTGCCAATCAGAAGCTGATGGTTGTTCCACACTCGGTACTCAAGCTTCCCGAATGCCGCTGCCGCCTTCGACACGCGATTATGCAACTCAACGTGTAGCTGCTGATCAGTCGACATCACACTCCCAAGGTAGCAAAAGCGGGAGGTGGTTTCCAGTATTTCAGCACCAATGCTGATTCGCAGCAATATTGAAGACTGCACCTCCGGTGAAGGCTGAAACAGACAGACAGTTTTGCTTGTGTTGATGGTGAGCCCGAATTTGGCCGCTGTCGAAGCCAGAGCACTAGTCATGTGCTGCAACTCATCCGCGCTGTGTGAAAACAACGCACAATCGTCAGCAAACAGCAACATACGGATAGTTGTCTCACAAACTAGAGTTCTCGCACCGAAACGACAGATGTTCAGCAACCCACCATCAATACGGTGCTCCACACGAACACCGTAAGCACAAGCCGCATCAAAAGCACAAGCCAACATTGCATGAAGATATATATTAAACAAGACAGGAGCTAAGACACAGCCTTGCTTCACACCAGAGACAACTGCAAAGTCATCCGAGGTCTCTCCACTCAGCTGCACCCTCGCTCGCATACCACTGTGCAGACATTCAATTAAACTTACAAACTTACGCGGGCAACCAAACTTACCCAACACCAGCCACAATGCCTCGCGGTTCACCGTATCAAATGCCTTGGTAAAGTCAACAAAAAGCGAGTACGATGGCTAGTGTCGTTCTCTGCACTTCTCTTGCAACTGACGAGCCGCAAACACCATATCTATAGTGCTGCGACCCGAACGCATTCCACTTTGCTCTTCCGCCACGTTACGTTCCACAATCTGACTCACGAGGCGGTTGAGCAGGATTCGGGCAATCACTTTGCCCACACAACTCAGCAAGTTGATGCCACGATAATTCGTGCAACATTGCTTGCTACCTTTGCCCTTGTACAGTGTTAGCACAAGGGCATCCTTCAGCTCAGGAGGCACCTCCTCCTCAGTCCATACACGTTGCACCAAGTGGTGCAGTGCAGTCAACAACGCGGGTCCACCGTGTTTCAATACTTCAGGTGGGATCCCGTCACCTCTGGCACATTTGCCGTTTCGCAGATAAGCAAGTGCTCTCTGCGTCTCATTCAGTGTCGGCGTATTCGCCAGATCCGCCATCACATCGTGCTGCTTCAGGCCGTTCAATGTAGGCCAGTCGATCTCTGAACGGTTGTTCAAGAGACAGTCAAAGTGTTTCCGCCAGATCTGCATTATGTCTGCAGTCTGGGTGCAGGTAGCGCCTAAACTACCATCGATCAGTGTCCTCAGCGGCTCCAATCTCGGTCCATACACCGCCTTCAAGGGGTCTAAGAATTCCTTGTGTTGACGGCGTTCGGCGTAGCATTCCATCTGCTTCGCCTTCTCCGTCCACCATGCATTTTTAATGCGACGGAGCTCTCGGGTCAGTCGCCGTCGAAGTTTGCGAAACTGACTCCTCTTCCCCAAGTCACTGGGGTCTACAACATGTGCAGCAAATGTTGCATTCTTCTCTGACACCAATGCGCCAATCGTCACATTGTTGTCATCAAACCAATCAGGCCGCTTACAGTTTGCGCGCCCGATGGTCTCCTCGGCACAAGCTGTCACTTGGTCGCGAATGTGGTGCCACAGGTCGCCCACTGTGGCTATGCAGTCCACATCACCACACAGGCTTGCAGCCATCGCCTTCTCCAGCTCAGCACGTTTCGCCACAGTACCGAGGGAGAGAATGTTAAATTTACGCCGATTCACGGCGGGAGTGCAATACATTGATTTACGATAACATATGTACAGTTTGGTCCGAACCAATTTGTGATCAGTGCCACACTCAGCTACACACAGTACACGCGTCATGCGCACTTACGAATATCACGCTGACGTACGATGACATAGTCGAGCAGGTGAGCGTGACCACTCCGTGGGTGCGTCCAAGTTGCTATATCACTCGCACTCAGTGCAAACCGAGTGTTCCTGTTCCACATATACGAAGCTAAAATAAACAGCGAAAGTTTCAAAACGTCCAAATCTATCTATAGGCATAAATTTCATGGTTTTCTACATAGTGGACAACTTGCAAATACCCATTTTGTCTTTTATTCCATATTTTTGACGGATTTGCAGAAAAACAACGCGATGCGGATAAGTATAAATATTCACGTTCATGGCCTGCATATAATATCTCCCAACTAATATGCCTGGCATGATTTGTCGAGTGATTTTTGTCCTGCTCATTGTTGAATTTGCTGTTTTGCAGGCGAATAGAATTTTCCGTGACTGTTGTGAGTCCAACAATTTAGTTAGTAATGTGGTGTAACAATTTAATTGCTCTCGTTTATTAGAAACTTTTGTCTGTGTCTTTGTCACGCAAATGTATCATACGGGTCAGCCTAATAAAATTAGACCCCGGTAGCAGATTTCCTTCCTACATATTTTCTGCATCTTTCAGCTGATGACAAAACGCTTATCGACGCATCTGTGTCGAATTGCAGCAAGTCACCGTGCGTCGTTGACGGAGGTGCGCAAGTTGATCTCGAAATCATCTTCAAAGCAAGTAAGCTATTATCATTGCATGTGTTTCCCTTTCCAAGATATTTACATTTGTGGGAACATTTCGCATATGCTGACAATAAGTAATGATATCCATGGTTGAGAAATACGCGAATTGCATACGTTGCCACGTAACCCCAAATATATTTCCTTGAACAATGTATTTCATTTCTGTGTTTCACTTAGAATTTTTCATAACAAGGAACTTAGGAAAATACTAGACATAACTGTAGAATCACTTCAAATTCGCTATAGAATTGAACACTGATAGCTCAGCTCGTTCAGATGGCAATGAGAGCCTCACCGAGGCTCATGTACGTAACTCTACGTTATTGCACATGTAACTCAGTATGACGACAAACAGAGTGAGGCCGGAATAAAGTAGAGCAAAGTGGTGGGCAGCCGTGAAAGCACATTTTTGATTGTGACATTTAGGTACCTGATCTGCGGTGCTGCCTTTGTATTTCGAGTCACGAACTCTGTTTCCAATGTTATGGGGTCAACACATCCCGTGATTACATGTGCTCATAATCTTTGTATAGGAAGAACAGTCCGTTCCGGGAAGGCGCAGGTTTGCTCAACCGACTCAAAGTCGAAGATGTGCTCAAGACCAGCTGCGGAAATAGAAGATATCTGCGAGTACATTGAAGGTGGATGTCCGCTGGAAGAAGGTAGTGTACACACGTATAAAAGAACGTATTTCACGCCCGATGCTTCGGTACGTTGTAATTTTTCCAGGGATTATTTGTTGGTTGTTTTGTGGATGCTAAGGAACAAAATTTATATTTAGCCGAAGGTTAATAAATGTTCAACTAGTTTCGGTACAAATGCAAGTAAACCACCCAATTTCACTTTTAGTTGCAAGGTGAAGTAACCTACAAGCTCTACGACGAGGAATGCAACGTGATTGCATGCATGCAGTACAGAAGGAAGATTCTCTCCAAGAATAAGAAAATGCCGCAAAATTTGCTAACTGATGACAGCTATCCATGCGGAGGCAAATGAAAAAGCACACATGTTCGACTCATTATACACGTTCATGTATTATTTGTCTAAAATGTCTTAACAATATAAATTGCAATCTTTTAACAATTGCATTAATACTTAACACATGGGTCCCTAGTTTGTTAAGGAAAGGACTTGTACTGTCTGTATTTTTAAGACGGGTGAGGTCGATATATTCGATAGTTCAAAGCTTTGTAGTGTATGATGGGATAAAAACCACAAATTTTAAGATCCACAAGATGGATACGCGAAAGAACGTTAACACGGAAATTTTATACTGTGGAACGTGTATTATAAATGGTCAAATCCATTGCATTTACCAAACACTTGTGTAGCGTTTTTCACTAAGATAAAATCTAATATTCGTTCGAATGTCGTAGCATCTGGTGCCTTCACCAAATGTGTTGGTAGTGCATTCTGGGGCAAACAGATTCCAAGTGTGTAAAAATAATTATCCCAGCTTAATCGGTACTCTAGCGTGATTAGTTTCAGGCCATTGCCTCGGAATGTTTTGTACGAGGTAAAAGTCAACAGTTATGGAAACGGGTGCACGCCCTCAGTCAGTATCCGGTATGTGCGGATGAAATCACCTTCGATGATTTTGGTTTCCTGAGGAGAACACACCGCGCAAACGAACGCGCAGTTCGTGAGACCGGAAAGCGCACGCGTTTTCAATCCGCATTTCTACTGGCCATCGCCCAATGGTGCCGAGAGTTCCCCTCAAAAGCATCAAGTTTAATTCCTCCCACATGCTGCGTTCGAATATTGGAGTGAATCGCCAAGACTATCTTGCACGAAGATACCTTAGTTGCGTTCACTAGTCACGTGTTGCAGGAAGTGTTGTTCTAAAAGTTGTGCGTTGACGAATTTCCTGCGCATCCTTTAACAGTTGGCACCTGGCAGGCTTCAGTGGGATCGGCTTCCACCCCGCCCATTCATTAATCCGTGCCAGATCGAAGCCTAGATGTATGTACGAAAGCTACCAGACCGTATGCGTGATTGTGAAAGATCTCATGTTCAATGACTTGCACTGTACGCGTTTTGTTGTATTCCCCTAAATATATTAGTTCAAAAATGAATGAACGGCTGTCAAATTAATGTGAAATCAGGTTGCTTTGTGTGAGTTAGTTTTTTTATCTACTAGAATCGTAACTGTCCAATGCTAAATCTGGGTACGTTTTGTTGGTTTTCGTGTCGTGGCTATCACGTCAATGTCTGCAACTGGTTTACTTGCGCATAGCGTTAAGATTGAGCGTGTATCTAATATTGAGCTATCGATTCAGTATTACGTGTCAGCTTTCTGGTGATTTGTAGGGTGCTAATCACATAATATTTGCCAGCAATGACACTTAACGGGCGTAATAATTAAGACAATCCGGAGGAGAGTAAATGCGGCTAGAACCAAGCCACATTGTTAGGGTTAAAATAAAGTGAGTGTACATAGGCAGAACAATGAGCAATGATATATTACGGGTAAAAAAGCGATTGCTTTACAAGTCCCGTAGGATGGTTGAAGTGAAAGTAAACATAAGCGTAAATCGTCAATTTGTGCGTCTAGTGAATTCAAGTGCCCCTTATTCATTGAAACGTTGTAGAATGTGTACTGAATTGTTATGCTAGAGTAATATGGGAAGTAATATGGGTAAGGCATATTTTAAGAACAAGAGAAACGACCAACGCTTACTCTTGCGCCGCCTTCTTGGACTGAGATAAACTGATGAATGCAGTTGTAATATATCCTAAACTATATTCCACAACAGCAGTGTGTAAATAGTGAAGCGCAAAAGCTGAGAATGAGCACCGATTTTTCGCGTTTGTTTGACGTGGACATCTCTGATTATATAGCGTAATGTAGGTGGATTAGCGAATCATCCAGACGTCGTTTGAATACCGTTAGCGTGGGGGAAGAAACAACATATGTGGGAAGAGCGTTCCAGTGTTCGCATACACGAAGGGAAAAGAAATTCCGGCGGCATTCCAACCGGCTGTATTGTGGGGCCAGCTTTAGTTGGTGTCCTCTGAGTGTTGTATTGCTATTCAGCTTTAGTAGGTGACGACAACAATGGTTTGGATTTCTTAGGATCACATAAGTCATTATCAAGTCGCCACGCAGGCCACTGTAGACCCCAAGGGTTTTCAGCCTCAATCGGTAAGGGAGATGAAACAGGCCGTTTACGTTCTTGGTCGCCCTTCGTTGTGGCAGTTCAAAAGCGGTAAGTTCTTGCTTTTGCCATGGCTGCCAGGCGTGGATGGCGTACTCAGAATGAGGCCGAATGTAGGCGTTGAGCATCGGAGAAAAGCTGGAAGGATCGTAGCGCCGAATGCCCTCCGCAAAAGACCAAGATTTTGGTTAGATTTTTTGGAGGCTTTCTCGGCCTGACGGGAACAGCCCAGCTTTTGCCGCACTGCCACGCTTAGATCACATTCCGTTGAAATGCGCTGCAATATTTGATCCACCAGTCTGTATTCGCAAGTGGCTTTATGGCGTATGCTCAACACCTTGCACTTTGTAGTGTTGAACTGAAGCAGGTTCTGAGTCGACCATTCGTAGACCCTGTCTAGATCCTCCTGAAGTGCTGCATTGTCGCTGGTTGCTCTAATGGCTCGCCATATCTTGAGATCATCAGCGAAGGCGTGGATTTTGCTAGTCAACTGCGGTGCGTTCCCTCTGTTCCTCACTGATTCGTCCAATTTTCTGGTTTCGCTTTCTCACTATTAACAGTTAGCAACCACGCTCAGAGCCATTTGTATTTTTGTTATCGAGAAACTTACGTTTGGTTTTCTCTCATGTCTGCAGTAAGGACATGCGCGATGAGAAAAAGTTGTGTTGTAAACAAGGATGTCCACATCTTAGTTCAGAAGCTCAGCGAACAAACCAAGGTGCCACGCAAAACATCCG